GGCGGCCGTCCGGGATCCAGGCATGAGACGCCCCGTCCTGAGACCCACAATAAATAAACCTTTAAAAATAAATAAAATAAAAACAGAGTCCTGCCTGTCTGGTGGTCTTAGGTAGGTAAATACTTTTTTATTTTTAATGAGGGAGGGTAAAAAACTCACAAATGCCCAAACAACGTGGTGTTGATTATATCAACTGTTTTGGAAGTGAATGACATAGGCAATATATGTCAAACATTTAAAATCTTAAGGAATAACCCATTTTTGGACCAGTAATTTTGTCTTTGGAAATCAAACCAAACAATTCCAAGTATAAAAGTCTAATCTACACAGATGTTACTTTCAGTGTTATTTACAAAAGTAAACTGCAAACACTGATTATTTCCACTAATGAGAAATGTATGTTAACTACTAAACACCTTAAAAATTAAAATCCCATGACACTTCAGTAGAATTTTGAAAAGTAACACTTAACACACACACACAAAAAAGTTTAGAAACAGCATCAAAATTGTAAACACCCACTTTTTCACTGAGCAATTCCCACTGGCAGATCTGAGAACCAGGACGGGCAGAGGCAAGAAAGGCTGGGTTGGGCCACAATGCCAGCCAATTCACACTAGAGCTGGGACTGCAGGCTGCCTAGACTAGGCTAGGCTGCAGCACCCAACAGCATGAGCTGAAACCGGGGGCAGCCCGGGCCAAGCCAGGTGGCAGCACTCACCAGTGAATGCCGAGGTGAGTTGAGCCATGCCAGTCTGGGCCTCAGCATTCACCTGTAAGCACATGTAAGACCTGGGATGGGGACTGGAGGTGGGGTGGGTAAGTCTAGCAGGGCAGCTGCAGGCTTCCCTGCTGGACCACTGCTGCCACTGGTGAGCGTGAAAGCTGGGACTGGGGACAGACCAGGCTGGGCAGGGCTACAGCACCCACTGGCCTGCACATGAACTGGGTTAGGAGGAGAGCCATGCTGAGTGGGCTTTGTCATAGCATCAGCTCGCAAGTGCTGGAACTGGGGGCAAGTCTGGTCAGACTGTGCCGTGGAACCACCTGCACAGTGCAAGATCCAAGGCTAGGAGTGGGCCCAAGAGGGAAACTGGGCACCTCTCTGATGGGCTGCAGCCCGTGAGCCTGAGAACCATGAATGGAGGGCACCTGGCTGGACAGGTGGTAGCTGGAGCTGAGCCAATCTGAAGCCAGGAGCATAAGCCAGAATCAGAAGCCTGGAGCCTCCCCATGACGTCAGAAGCCAGGAGTCTTCCCATGATGTCAGCACCACCAGAAAATATTTCTCCACAAGAACAAAGCTCCTGCTTCGCTCTGTTCTTTGAGGAGGCATAATTCTGTGAGAAGGTCACAGAAGTAATTAAGCATCCACCTCTGAAGAACATTCAATGCTTCAGAGATGGACAAAATTACTGCTATCATCTCTCAGAAAAGTTAGGTAGAGTTTGATGAAATTTAAGAAATAACTCACTTTTTCTTCTTTTTAAATTTTATAAAAAAGATTTATTTGAACGAACTACAGACAGGGGAACAGGGCGGGGAAGGGGGGGTGAAGATGGGCATAGAACAGGATCCCACATAGGCACCGGTTTATATTCCAACTGCTTGATTTATGCAGCTCCCTGCTTGTGGCCTGAGAAAACAGTTGAGGACGCCCAAAGCCTTGGGACCCTGTGCTCACCCGGGAGATATGACAGAAGCTGCAGTTATGGCCTCTTGGGGAAATGAATCAGCGCATGGACAATCTTTTCCTCTCTCCTTTTCTCTGTAAAAATCCACCTTTTCAGTAAAAATAAATAAATGTTAAAAGAAAAGGTCAGTTGACCTGGGAGGTGTGGGTAGACTGTGCTGGCAAAGACAGTTATGCTAGCACTTGCTACCCAACATTCCTTATCAAAATGTTTGTTCAAATCCTGATTGCTCTGCTTCTGCCCAGGCTTCCTGCTGACACACCTGGGAAAGCAGCTGATGATACCTAATCACTAGGAGGTCCCCGGCACCCACACAGAACACCCAGCTGGAGTTCCATCTCAGGGACTGGTGGAGGCTACATGCTTTTGACAAATGAGCAAATGGCTGTTGCAGTCATCTGGGGGAGAGAATCAGTAGGTACAAGCTCTCTCCATCTGTTTCTTCTATTTCTTGGAGAGCCCCACCTTTCAACACAAAAGACAATTAAAATTCAAGCTTTTGGTTGCACGAGGTTAAGGTGACGTCTAGGAACTTGCCTCTTTCTATTTTAGCTTCCTGCTAATGTACTCAGGAAGGCAAACAATTGACCGCAATATCTGGGTACCTGCAGTCCACATGGGAGAATCTTGGCTGGTATGGACGTTCAGGGGCGGGAACAAGTTGTTGAAAGATTTTCTGTATGTTTCCCCTCTTAACATGATTCTTAACATGATTACCAAAGAAGTATAAACATACACTAATGGCAGGTAAGAATACAAGAAAACACTAAAAACTTCTTTTCTGTTTTAGCACCATATTATTTTGAAAAATTAAAAACTTTAAAATTTTAAAAATTTAGATTTAACAAATTATATTGTTAATGCCAAGTTTATCATTACCATTTTGTTCATTTTTCTTGAGCTGAGTGGGAGGAAGAGGTAGAAAGAAATGGGGAGAGGGAAGAGGAGAAACGTGAGTAGGTGAGCCACAGCAAGAGGGAAACCTGGTTCAAGCTGAGCCAGAACTCAGTGCACACCTCCCGCACCAGTGACAGGAACCCACTATCTGAACCATCAGAAGCACAGTCAGGTTTCGAATACCAATGCTCTAAGATATGGGATACTGTCATGTTAATTAGAGGTTTATTTTTATTTGAAAGGCAGAGTCACAGAGAGCAGAGGTCTTCCAATCACTGGTTCACTCCCGAAATGGGCTCAATAGCTAGAACTGAACAGATGCAAAGTCAGGAGCTGGAGCTTTTCCAGGTCTCCCACATGCATGGGTTCCCCTGAAGGGGCCCAAGGACTTGCGACATCCTCTGTTTTTCCAGACCATAATCAGAGAGCTGGATGGGAAGTGGAGCAGTTGGGACTCAAACTAGCGCCCATATGGGATGCCAGCACTATAGTCAGAGGCTTAGCCTCCTACAACATGGCACTGACCCCATCTTTAAAGATTTGTTTCACTGAATGGTTTACATTTATGACCGATACTATTAAAAAGTCTTTCAAAAACAGCTTCACAATAGAAATGATATCCACATCCCCTCACTGGTATTTCTTTTTTTTTTTTAAGATGTATTTATTTTTATTGGAAAGGCAGAAATAGAGAGAAAGAGAGACAGAGAGAAAGATCCTCCATCCAAAGCTCTATTCCCCAAGCAGCCACAACAGCCATAGCTGAGCTGATCCAAAGCAGGGGCCCAGAGTCTCTTCTAGGTCTCCCACACAGGTGCAGGGTCCCAAGCTTTTGGGTCATCCTCAACTGCTTTCTCAGGCCACAAGCAGGAAGCTGGATGGGAAGCAGGGCTGCTGGGAATAGAACTGGCGCCCATATGGGATCCTGGTGCATGCAAGGCAAGGACTTTAGCCACTGAGGCAACATGCTGGGCCCCTCACTGGTATTTCTGAATTTGGGATTATAAGCAAGTATTTATTTTATACAAGTAACAGAATATGCTACGGAGACAGCACAGTTCCTATTTCAACTTCAATTTAAATGAGACAAATTGAGGTGTCCACAGGAGAGTCTTAAATGTATTATCATCCCACATAAATAGCCTAGCAAAATAGATAAATTAAACTCAAGTTAAATGATGACTGACCAACTTATAATACCAATTACTGTTAAGTCAAACAGAAACGGAAGAAAGAAAGAGTATGAGTGGGAAGAAATTACAATAGTTGACAGGAAAAGATAAATTAGAAAATTCTTCAGAGATTCCAGGTCAGTTGAGTTCAGAGCTCCCTATCTGTGCAGACAGGTATATTTGGGAATAAGACTAGATTGTGAGCGAGCAGAACCACGCTTCCCCAGATAAAAGTAACCGTCCATCTAAAAGTTGGGGCTGTTTGAGCATGCTATTATGTGAGTAGAGCAGAGCAAGCTGCAGGACCAAGGCATAAAATCTGGCATAGAATCTTAATCTAAGCACTATATTGCTTCTGTCTGAATAAATTAAATATTCACCTTGTCATAATCTTTGCTAGAATTTGCTCAGATTTAATTTCAATTTTGTCAGATGAAGAATACGATGGTATTCTAGACTATGAACAGTCGCTCAGCTCCTAAGGGAAACACTGCCTGCAAGCTTATTTCTGTTACGACAGCACGCACTTTTCTTAGGACTGTGACAACACGCGGACACAGTGGCAGTTCACTTTTTCCTCTGGACTCAGAACAGAGGAGAAATTAGCTTGGCATTATATTCACATGTTTGTTATATCATGGACATTGCTGACAGACAGTTTATATAATTCTGTGGAGTGTTTTGCTTTTGTTCTAAGGCAATCTTCTACCATTAGCTCCCAACTGTCTGTACTACAATTGCTCAAAATCACAGCTAACTTAAAACTGAGTAAAATTTTGTTTTAAAAAGTATTTTGTAATCACACAGAAATGTATATGTTTCTGGCAATTCACAACACTAAATAGTACATTTTGTTATTATTGTTAAACATTTGACATCAGAACAGCTTTCTGTTCAACTTTGTTTGCTATATAATTCTAATGCAAATATAAGACTACAGCAGAACTCACCACTCACTTTATTTTACCAATTTCTACTTTCTTTTTTAAGAGGAAGGAGATAATTATTTTTCTTGGATTTTTAAATTTAAATCTGCATAGTCAGCAAATTGTCAAAGGAAGTAACAGCTAAATGTGGCTTAAGTAAAAAAAAAAAAGTAAATGGCTATAAGGAATATCAGGGGTTAAATCTACTAAAATCATTTAAAAGTAGCTGAAGTTACCAAAAGGAGACCAGACAATTATTAACAGCAACTTGTCACTGAAATGGCCAGTGACTTCCTGGCACTGTCACGCACCTGCAGCAGATGGGAACTGCCTGGCTCCAGGAGGCTCACAGCTTCATTCTGCATTGTGTTCTGCTGGGTGATTGCATCCTCTCGCTTCCGCTCCTTCTGTCCTGCTTCATCGTCTTCATACTCATCTAAGCACTGAAATAGAGAACAATTTCAATTGTATTTTACATGCAGAATAACAGAATGTTAACAGTACGAAGTACCAGCATGCTCAGAAGCTAGCTTACACAATACAAGTATCTTTGTAGGACAGATATTTACATCCTGTAAATCAAGTGCCCATGCCTTCACATTCAACCCATGCTAACATACCTATTCTCTAACTACCAGTAATCAGATTTTTCTAAATGGAGCATTCACTCACTCTTTACCATTCATGCAAAAGTAAACTGTTTCTAACATAAATCAAGCAACTATGGGGGCTGTTTGACAAAAGACACACTACAATCATGGAACTTATAGTTTAGTACGGAAAACATAAATAGATACAAACATGCACACACACACACACACGAACTTTATTGCAAGGAAGACAATAGGCCTCAGAAATTATGCACAGAGGGAAAAATACTGAGGCTACTGCTAGTCATGAAGGGTCAGCAGAGTAACTGGCCAGGAAGGGAATGTTAGCCTGATAAGGAGCACATTCAAAGACAAGGTTTATGATGGTGGGCAAGGAAGAAAGCACTGCAGGTGGAGTTTGCAATCAGAGTAACATGGACAGGAACTTTGGAGACAAAGAGGAAAGGGCAAATGGAAAGAACAAGAAGGCTGAGATGGCAGAGAACATTTGAGTTCTCTGCTGAAATGCAACAGACCGTGAACACAGGTCTCAGAAAAGGGGACAAGAAAAATCATGATGCTGTAGCTAATGCTACTGATGTGAATATAAATTGTCCTTGTCACCAAACCAAGGTTAGCATCTTCTACCAGACGTGCAGGTTAAAGTGCTGACTGGCAAACAGGGTAACAGCCTGGGGTCTTCACATGTCTTGAGGGGAGGAATAAAAATTGACATCAGACTCAACACAATGATATCCACTATCAACATCATCCTAGACTTGCTACTTGCTACACTGAGAGAAGGACAGCAGGGAACTCCAACATTACACATGATGTGAGTTTGTTAAACAAGAAATGTCTTAAATATTTTGACTTTTGTTCACTAAGTATGAAAAATTAGTCCCAAAGTATAATTAATAGCCAGTTATAAAAACTTTAATATAATCACAAAAACAAGCAAAAAGCTACATGGTATCTATAATGACAAAGCTAAAACATTACTGAGAAAAATTAACATTCACATGTAAACTGAGAAAACCTTAATATTATAACAACATCAAATGTCTATAAATCAATATATAAACTGAAAATTCTAATCAACATGCATTGGAACTTTTCATAAGATTTATTTGTTCTTATTGGAAAGGCAGACTTACAGAGAAAGCATATCCAACTGCTGATTCACTCCTCAAATGGCTGCTTTCCAGGCAGATCAGCCAGCTGAGCCATCACACCAGCCACCCTTCACTGGAATTTATATAGAAAGCAAAAGAGTGCCACCTGGGGCCCAGTGCAGTAGTCTAGCAGCTAAAGTTCTCATTTTGCACATGCGAGGATCCCATATGGGTGCCAGCTCTAACCCCAGTGGCCCAGCTTCCCTTCTAGTGCCCTGTTTATGGCCTGGGAAAGCAGTCTAGGATAACCCAAAGCCTTGGGACCTTGCACCCGCATGGGAGACCCAGAAGAGGTTCTGGGTTCCTGGCTTCGGATTGGCGCAGCTCCGGCCATTGTGGCACTTGGGGAGTGAATCCATGGACAGAAGATCTTCTTCTCTGTCTCTATTCCTCTTTGTATATATGGTTTTCCAATAAAAATTTTAAAATTGGGCCATCGGGGAAAATAAACACAAAGACATTCTTGAAAAATATTTTTAAAAAGAGTTGTAGTACAAGTGCTGTGGTTCAACAGGCTAACTCTTCACCTTCAAGGACTGGCATCCCATACAGATGTTCGTTCCTAGTCCTGGCTGTTCCACTTCCCATCCAGCTCTCTGCTTATGGTTTGGAAAAGCAGTAGAGGGTGGGACCCTGCATCTAAGTGGGAGATGTGGAAGAGACTTCAGACTTTTGGATTGGCTCAGCTTTTGGCTTGACTTTTGGCTTTGAATTGGCTCAGCTCCGGCCACTGTGACCATTTGAGGAATGATCCAATGGATGGAGTATCATTCCTTCTCTTCTCTGTGGATCTGACTTCCCAATAAAAAGAAATAAATGTAACTCCAGACGTCAAGACATTCTGCAGAGCAGTGGTCATCAAAACAGCCTGGTACTAGTACAGAAACAGAGAAGATCAATGGAACAAATAGAAACAAGAGAAGAAAGCCCACATATGCATAGCCAACTAATATTTGACGAGAAAACGCTGTTGGGACAAACGCTGTTGGGACAATTGGATAGCAACCTGCAGAGGTAAGAAGCAAGACTCTCACCTGTTACCTTGTACAAAAATCAGATCTAACTGGATCAAGGACCTAAATCTGCACCTAGAAATCATCAAGCTATTAGAGAAAAAATACAGGAAACATTTTGCATGTTATAGGCATTGGTAAAGACTTCTTGAAAAAGACATCAAAGCAAGGTAGTCAAAGCCAAAATAAACAAATGGGACTACATCAAAAGTTTTGGAACAACAAAGGAGACATCAACAAAGTGAAGAAGCAACCAACACTACACAACCGATAGGAGACTAATATCCAGGATTTACAAAGAGCTTCAGAATCCCAGCGACAAACAAAAAACTGTGAAGAGACAGATAAAGGAAATGAACATTTTCAAAAGAACAAATTCAAATTAATAATAGGTATATGAAAAGATGCTCAGGCTCCTTAGCCATCAGGGAGACACAAATGAATACCATACTGAGGTTCCATCTAACTCCAGCGCAGTTGGCTTATGTTCAGAATTCTACTAACAACACCTGCTGCCATGGATGTGGGGAGAAAGGTATCCTCCCTCGCTGTTGGTGGGAGTGTAGCTAGTACAACCACTATGGAAATCAGTAAGGAGAGTGCTTAGAGAACTCCGAATTAACCTGCCGAATGACACATTTATCCCACCTCTGGGAATATATCCCAAGAAAATAAAATCTGCATATGAAAAAGAGATCTGTAATCCTATATTTATAGCAGCACAATCCACAATAGCAAAAACATGGAAACAACCCAGATGCCCATCCAAAGAGGAGTAGATAAAGAAAGTGTAGCATACCTACTTCATGGAATACTACTCAACAATTAAAAAAAAAAATGAAATTCTACCATCTGCAACCAAATGGTCCCAACTAGAGACCATTATGCTCAGTGAAATAAGCCAATCCCCAAAGGATAAATACCATATGTTCTCTCTGATATAAGGCAACTTCCATGGGAAGCAGTCATGATGACCCACATAACTTGGTCCATGCCATTCAGGTGCAAAATCTGGACAGAATTCCCTGCTAGAGCTTCAAGCTTTGCAAGCCTCCCTTCCAGCCCCCCAATCCCTGCTACCCTCGAAGGTACTGAGTATAAACAAACGGGTTGGGGCTCTCTTCTTTGCTCCCTTTCTTCCCCTAAAAACAAACAAAAAGCCTGCCTTTTCCCAAGGCAACAGTGACTTCAGGCAGCAATCAGAATGCATCTTCGATGAATCACAGCTTCCCTTCAACATTCTGCTGGCAAACACAGCAAGCACTTTATCTGCAAGCATCTTGCAATTTCTTAAACTATCTTACGTAAATAGGATAAATACATCTGGAGGAACACGATGACAGACAAAGTGAGAAATAATAGACTTCCTTAGAGAAAAACAACCAGTGCCTCCTTATTTCCTTTATCTGAACGGCCCTTCACTCATGTACCACCATCTTCTGACTCGTGCTTCAGTGACGAACATTGGGCTTGTCTACAGTCTTCTGCTTTAGAAGAATAAAATGGGACCAGTGCTGTGGGGTGGTAGGTAAAGCCCCTGCTGTGGGCATCCCAGCTGGGCACTGCTTTAAGTCTCAGCTGTTTCACAACTAATCCAACTCCCTACAAATATACATGGGACACCAATATTTGGGTCCCTGTGTCTACAAGACAGACCAGGATGAAACTCCTGGCTCCTGGCTTTGGCCTGTCCCAGACCTGGCTGTTTTGACCATCTGGGGAGCAAACCAGCAGATAAAGATCTCTCAATCTCTCTCAATAAAAAGCACAGTTATAGACATCCTGAATAATTCTCTATTGAGCAAATGAAACCTTTTTATAAATTTTCTTAAAAGAAATCTTCAAGATAATCAAGTAAATTCTATCAAACATTTAAGGAAATATCACTTGCACACAGATTCTTTCAGGAGGAAAGACTTCAACTTCTTTTGAAGTCAGACTTAGTCTAATACCAAAATAAAAAAAAATTCTAATTAAAAATATATAAACTATAGACCAATATATCTGAAAATAAACACAAAAATCCCAACAAATCTTAGCAAAAGGGAAGTTTACATAAAAAGCTAACCATGTCAACATGGGGTCTAGGTTACTGCAGCTACTACAATTTATCATATTTACAGAATAAAATTATCATAAGTAAAAAGTAAGACATGGTCCCGGCACGATAGCATAGTGGTTAAGGTTCTCACCTTGCATGCCAGGGATCCCATATGGATGCTGGTTCTAACCCCAGCAGCTCCACTTCCCATCCAGCTCCCTGCTTGTGGCCTGGGAAAGCAGCTGAGGGCGGCCCAAAGCCTCGGGACCCTGCACTCACAGGGGACACCCGGAAGAGGCTCCTGCCCACTATTTTTTGGATCAGCTCAGCTCCGGCCGCTGTGGCCGTTTGGACAGTAAACCAGTGGATAGAAGATCATTCTCTCTGTGCCTCCTTCTCTCTATAAACCTGATCTGCCTTTCCACTAAAAATAAAAATTAAAGTCTTAAATTTAAACAATGCGGTATTGACATAAAGATAGTCATACAGATCAAAGGAATGAAGCAGAGGCCAGAAACAAACCTACTGATGTACAGCTCATTAATTTTGCACAAAGGTGTTAGGAAAACATCCTTGAGAAAGGATGATCTTGTAAAGAAATTGATGCCATTAAATGAGTGTCAG